ATATATATATATATAGCTGATTTGCCCGGCGCCTCCCGGCGCCAGAGGCGGCCATGTATATATCGAGGAATGGGCCCCGATCGGTGGGGCCGAAACCGGCTGCACGCAGCAGATTTCGTGACCCCCCCTTTGCGCATTCCCCCCTGGTTCGTCTGGCCCGGAAGAAGGGCACAGGAGCCGGCGGGGCCGAGGTCGGGGCCGAGGCCGGGTCCAGGACCGAAACCGATGCCAGGGGACATGCAGACGCCCCTGCACTGCGACAAAAGGGAAAGCACGCGACGGGAGGCTTTTCGCAGTCTTCGGCCTCTGGGGGGCCCCTCGCCGCGCCCTGGGGACAGGCAAGCAACAACGACCCGGGGTGACGAACTGGTCCGGGGGCATGGGTCGAGACCTCTGCCCGGGGTCGGCGTTAGGAAACATCGTGACTCGGGGGTCTGGTCTCCCTGACCTTCCAGTAGGGCTAAAACATAGCACCCGACTTAAACCCCTATCCCAAAGCTATTCTATACGTCTTGGTGTTAGGCTGTTCCGCTCATTTGTTTGAGGTTTTTAAGTCTCCAGTGCTAAAACATAGCTCTCTGGAAGCCCAGACCCCCGACGTCGTGATTTTTTCACGACGTCGCCCCCCAGAGGTCTGGACCCCTTCCCCGGGACCGCTTTTTCGTCCTGCATCGTTTTTTGACGGTCCCGAGGCCTGGGAAGGGCCCCCAGAGGGCGAAAATAGCGAAAAACCTCCCGTCGTGATTTTTTCACGACGCCAGGAGGTCTGGGAGGTCAGGGTGGTCTGGGGGCCCAGAGCCCAGACCGAAGCCAGGGGCGGTGGCCGTGGCCAGGGCCCGGGGCCGTGGCCGGGGCCGCGGCGCGAGCCAGCGCCAGGCACGGGAGCTCCCGGTCCTGCCCCCGGAGGGGCTCCAGCCCTGGCCTTCCAGGAGGGCTAAAAAAATAGCACCCGACTTAAAAAAACCTATCCCAAGGCTAAGCTGTTCTACGTCTTGGCTTAAGCTGCTTCGCTCAGCTTTTTGGGTTTTTAGGTCTCCAGTGCTAAACCTATAGCTCTCTGGAAGGTCAGGGTGGAGGTTCTGGAGTCCGGCTTGGGAGTACCACATCTACGCGGAAGGGCTCTCAATCTCTCCATCTCCTCCTCCTACTCCTCCTCCTGTCTCTCCAAAGTGCGGCCCAACGTTTGGCCACATGGGCGTCTCCAAATGGCATGGGCTGGTGGTGATTCGCTGTCAGGCGTCTTCGAAACACGGTTGTCCGAAAGGCATGCAAAGATGTGGCGCGAGGCATTGAACAGCATGCTAGCCAGCGTGGACCCCACACAGCGACTTCGTGCAATATCGTGCAATCAATGTGGTCAATCTAGGTGGTGCAATCCATGTGGTGCACTCGATGCAAGGAAAGGCCAAGACATGCAAAACAAGCATCTAAATGCAGCGCAATACCAAGACATGGCGATACAAAGCAATGCAATGCAACGCAATGCAATACACAACAATGCAACGCAATACAAAGCCATACAGAGCAATGCAGAGCAATGTAAAGAAACTACAAAACATGAAACGCGATGCAAAGCAATGCAAACCAATGCAAACCAATGCACAGCAATGCAACGCACTGCAATGTAACGCGATTCAGAGCGATGCAAAGCGATGCACAGCAATGCGACGCAATGCAATACAATGAAAAGCAATGAAAATAAATGCAAATCAATGCAACGCAATGCAAAGCTATGCAAAGTCATGGAATGCAGTGCACTGCAAATCGATGCGCATCGATGCAAATCAATGAACTGCGATACAAAGCGATGCAACTCGCTGCAAAGCATTGCACATCTGTCCGATACAACGCAGTGCGAAACAATGCAGAGCAATGCTAAGCACTGCAATGCAATGAAGAGCTATGCAAAACCATACGAATGACCCCTTGGGGTGTTCGTCGGCGTGTGAGATGCTCCCCCCTTCCCAAACCCCTCCCCCAAGAGCCCAGGCTGGTCGATCTGGAGGGGGGGTCCGCCAGGCACCAGCCGAACGCATATCACCGGGGGGACGGACGGCCCCAAAACGGGCCAAGAGGGTACCAGGAGGCCCTCTGGACGGTCCAAGAGAGTCACACGTGGCTGAAAGGTCGATTTTACATGCCCACGCTGGCCTCCAGACGGCCCAAGGGGCCTCCAAGACGCCCCGAGAAGCCATCAAGAGGCGTCCCAAGATGGCCTGAAAGAGCAAAAATCGCCCCATTCCCATAGGAAAACAGCATTTGTAGCACATTCCCCTCTTGTACGTTCACAACTTCCAAGACAGCCCAAGGAGCCTCCTGGATCGCCCAAAGACGGCCCAAGAGGCCGCCAAGAGGGCTCCCAGATGACCCCCCAAGAGGCCTTGCCAAGAGGGCCCCAAGGACGCTCAAGAAGCTCCCAAGACGGCCCAGGGGAGCTCCAGGATAGCTCCAAGGGGGACCCAGTGGGGGAACCCGAGCGAACATTTCGAGCCTTCGACTCCAAACCAAACCGTCCCCCAGCTGCCCCAAGAACCCCCGAAGAGGCTCCCAAGGAGCTCCGAGAGGCCAGAAAAGAAGCTCCCAAACGGCATCCAGGAGGCCCCCAAGCGATTCAAACACTGGTTCCAAAATGGCCCCGAGACGCCTCCCACGAGACCCCGTCTGCCATCCGCGTGGCCTCAGACCCGCCCAAAGATGGCCCCAAGACGGCCCAAGACGGCCCCAAGACGGCCCTGGACGGTCCCAAGAGGGCCCGTGAGGCCCCCAAGACGGCTCAAGGGGGCCCCAAGAGGACTCGAAAGAGCGCCTCCAGGAGCCAAAATTATTGATTTTGCGTTGGTTCTTGAAAGATGCGTTCTCGCCTTCTTCGGGTTTTCATATGACCATGACGGCCCAAGCAGCCTCCAAGAAGCCCTCAAGACGGCCAACGAGGCCCCCAAAGGGGCCCCAGCATTGCTCAAGAGGGCCCCAAGACGGCCGAAAGAGGCCGCCCCCAAGACGGTCCAAGGGGCCCCCAAGACGACCCAAGAGGACTCCAAAAGAGCCCTGAGGCAGCCGCGAGAGGCCTCTAAGATGGCCTCCGAAGGGGCCAGACGGCGCAAGAGCGCCCCAAGCCGGCGCAAGACGTCAACAAGAAGCCCCAAGAGACCCCAAAGCGGCCCCAAAGGCGCTCCAAGAAGCCCCCACGAGGCTCTCAAGAGGCTCCCAAGAGCCCCCCATGAGGCCGCCCAGAAGCCCTGGGGATTGCAGCACGGAGCGGCACGCATGCGCGGCCGCCGAGCAGGTCACGCCAACCAACGCCCACACTGTGGCCCACAACCTCCACATTTGGACACTTTTCCACAGCGGCGATTACGGCCGCGAGAAGCACCAGGCCGGCCTCGAGAGATCGGCCTCCGAATGGGTCACACGCCGCAAGAGCGCTCCAAGACGGCCCAAGACGCCCCCAAGAGGCCTGGAGGGGCCCCAAAGAAGCCCAGCGCAGAAGGGGCCCCAAGAAGCCCCCAAGACACCTCCAAGAGGCCACAAAGAAGCCCCCGAAGGGCCCCGCAACGACTGGACTGTACGTGCTCCGGACGTGCACCCCGCGAAGCGAGAGGAATCAATGCAAAGCAAGCGACGCAAAGCAATGCTAAATAAAGCAGCGCAAAGCAGCCTTTACCAACGGCGAAGGCAGCGGCGAAAGGCGCCAACGAGCTGGCCGGACTGCAACTCAGGCTCGGTTACCTTGGAAAAAAAGGAGCATCCCCTAAGTGCACGCACTGTTTGGGTAAAGAGACATGAGATATGGAGGAATGAGGAACTAATCCTTGCAGTCGGTGTCCTCGCGTGTGGTGCCGCACAAATATGCGCGTGTGATCATTGGTGAGCGGGGGGACGGATACAGAGTGCGATCCAGGTGTTCCGCACTGGTCCCTCCTCCCCGCCACTTCCCCTTCTTCCTCGTCCTCGTCTCCTTCTCCGCCATTTCCTCGTTCTCCTTCTCCTCCTCCCTCACTCCCCTAGCCTTCCTCCTCCTTCTCCTCCTCCTCCTCCCGCTTTCTCTGGCCCCCCACCTCTCCTCCCTGGTCCCTCGTTTCCGCAGACCCCTCCCACATTGTCCAGTTCCCAACCTCCCTCCTTGGCCCTGTTTGGGTGGTGTCAGGCCCAGGTAGGGCGAGCGCGTCAGCACTCATGCCATGTAGGCATGCACAGTCAGAAATGAAGGCACAACGGGTCTTGAGATTAGCCGAAAAGTTCTAAAAGTTCCAAGCCTCCGCCCTCTCCCTGCCACTGCCATCCAGGGATGTAAGTCGGAGCCGACAAACAAATATCTGGGCCTCGGGCGCCCAACGAAGGGAGGAGGAGCAGCAGCAGTAGAAGCCATCACTGAGACAGTTGGAACGGCCACTGACGATCACCAGCAGGCAACAAAGCGGTGGAGAAGGTAACAACGACGCTGATGGAGTGGGCCCAGCGGTGCACAGCGAATCGGGGGCGGGGGCGCAAGCGAATGACTAAGAGCGCGCGAGCGAGCGCAGCGCTCCGAGCAGAACGGGCTCGGGGCTCGGCCGACGCGTCCGCGCCAGAGAAGGGGGGAAGGGCACTGCCCGCGCCCCGGACCTGCTGGCGGGCCGTGCGCACCTCCCGACAAAAACTTGGGGGCGGCCGCGGGGTCTGACCGCGCTGGGCCCACTGGAAACTCGGACAAACGGGGGGGCGACGACGAGCCCGCTCAAAATCTGCCCCCGGACCCCTCGTGGGGTCCAGGTGGTGCAGGGTTTCACCTGGGATCCGTTCCTGGCGGTCCCGGGGCCCGAGAACTGGCCCCGCAGGCCGAGGGAAGGAATAAATTCGAACCCAGCACCTCGAACCTCGATTCTTCTTCTTCTGTTTGTTCTTATTATTATTATTATTATTATTATTATTCTTCTTCGTCTTCTTCTTCCTGCTCGCACGCACCAATTCTGGACCACCCCAGACCCCAAGCCAGCTCCACCGAGCACATCTCCCCCAAAGTCCACGGTGACAGTTCGCCTCACGTTGCTGTTCACCACAGTGACAAAGAGCTCCAGGACTGACCACAGCGCCCAGGCCTCCCACAGCTCCGCGCTGGCGATAACGGTGTGCGCAAGCGACTGGGTATCCTGACGGAGCGCTTTGTTTTACGGGCGGGGCCTTTTGAATGGCGTGTCGCGGCGCGGCGGCCCTGCGACTGGCCATCGCTCGGACGTCCATTTCCTGTGTTTTTGTTGCGGCTCCGTGCGTTTTTCTTTCGCCAAATGATCAGGGATGCTCCTCGATGGTCCTCGCCGAAAAAAAAATGCACACGCCCGAGCGATGCCAAGTGCGAAACGCCATGCCCTGCGCAGGCGGACAGCGTGCCGCTCCGCCCCGCAGGGCGGGAGGCGGGGACAAGCCCGGGACGCTGACGCCTGGGAACAGGGACGTGAACGGCGCGTCGCGCCGAAGCGTGGAGGGGCCCGAGCCGGCGGAAGGGCACGCGAAAAGCCAGACCTGCCTGACCGCGCCTCCCGCCACCCTTCTCGGCCCCGGCAGACGCCAGCGAGCCACATCTGCGGGGGACTGGGCAGCCCGAGGAGACTCGGGGGAGGGAGGAGGAGGAGTCATCGCCGCGAGGGAGAGGAGGAATCACCGCCGCGAGGGAGAGGAGGAATCGTCGCCGCGAGGAATCATCGCTGCGAGGGGCTGGGCAACCCGAGGAGACTCGAGGGAGGGAGAGGAGGAACCTCATCGGCGCGAGGAAGACGAGGCCCCGACCTCCGACGGCGCGGCGAGTTCCCTCTGCTGCGCGGCTGCAGTCGGGGCGCCAGGGAGCCACACCCAGACGCGCAGGCTGCTGCGATCGCATCGTGCTCAGAGATCTCGTGGGGCCCCAGTGGGCCCGCACCGAAGGTCACTCTGGGGCAGGGTCGCCCTTGCGTGCAGCCGACATGAGCCCCATGAGGTCTCAACCCCTTCCCACGGACAACTTGCTGATCCCGATTGGGTTATGATGACACTGGGGTCGAAAATTGCCCCACGACGTTGAAAGTGAGAGAGAGAGAGAGCTAGAGAAGCAGAAAGGAATAAACAACACAACAAGCATAAAGAAAGTGTGTGAGAGGCACACGGATAGAGAGAGAGAGACACACACACCCAGGAGGAGAGAGAAGGCGAGGCGGAGAGATTAAGAGAGGGAAATCGAGAGAAGGAGAGAGAGAGAGAGAGAAAGAAAAAAAGAGAGAGCACTCAACCGATCCACACGTACACGTGTGTATATATGTGAGGGCACATGCATACATAGATAAATAGGTGTACATGTAAATGTATAAACACAAGGAGAGAGAAGGAGAACGTGAGATATATATATACATATATAGAGAGAGAGAAAGAGAGACAGAGACAGGCAGACAGGCAAAGAGGGAGCGAGAGAGAGAGAGAGAGAGAAGCAAACATGAAACGAAAGACCAAGAGAGAGGGAGAGAGAAGGGTGGGGTGAGGATTCAAGACCAGGGTGCCCAGGGGGATCCATACGTGAGGGAAACGATGAACGCGGAGCAGGGGGGGGGAGAGAGGGGGGGGGGGCACGGAGGTTGAACGGAAACTCTGGATGCTTTGCAAACTATGAGCGAAGGGGCGACGGGGCGAAGAACCCTCCCAGCCAAATAAAGAGAAAGACGCGGTGGCCGAAGGATGTAAGAGTTATATGGGTTCTCGTGGTTCAGAACTTCTGTGTCGAAGAGAAGGATTGACATCTCCACTGCACTTTTTTCCAACGCCGAAGCCATTCGCCCTTTGTCTTAGGTTTGAAGAAGGAGGGGGGCAACGTGGGGCAGTGGGGGAAGAGAAGGAGGAAGGGGCAAAAGCATGAACGCAATATCAGTCATACTAGAATCGGGGGACCGATCCGACTCTGAACGCAGATCGGTCCCGGCTGCGTCGGCACGGAATCGGAATCAAACAGAATTCGCCGCGCTAACATACACAACAACGCCATCGTGCAAGCATCCAGGAGCATCGGACCCGCGGGACATTGGCACCGAATCGGATTCGGTCGAACATGTTCGATTTCTGATCGGATCGATTGGTCCGAACTGGGGCCCAAGAGGACGAGAATGTGAACAGGGAGACGAGGGAGAGGTGACGATAGGAGGATCTGGAGGAGCAGGAGGAGGAACAGGAGTAGGAGGAGGAGGAAAAAGGCGCGGAGGAGACAAGGAGGACGAGGAGGGGAGGGGGCAGGAACACGAACAACAAAAAGAGGCGGCGGCGGCGGCTGCGGGCGAACCAGGAACGCGAATCAAACGATGCCACATTCGAAAAACAAAATTCGCTCAATTTCCTCGAATGCGCAAGCGTGGCTGTGTTTAACAAGCAAAAATCTCAGGGAACGGCCAAATCCGAACACACATGACTGACAAGCAGGAAGACCAGGAACGCCACCGACCCCAATTATCACCTACAGACAGCCAAGTCAAGATGGTACGGTTTGCCTGGCATGGAAGAGTGACTGCTTCAACGCACGAGCTGGGTCGGAACCTCAAAATGGTGCACGGGCGCGAACGCGCCTAGGCACGGTCAGCGAAGGTGAAGGCGATGACGACGGCGGTGGCGACCGCGACGGACAACGAGCAGGGCGGCGGCGGTGAAGGCGATGACGACGACGACGACGACGACGACGACGACGACGACGACACCGACGACGACGACGACGGCGACGTTGGTGACGCCGATGGCGGCGGCGTGGGCGACGGCGGCGAAAACGACGGCGACAATGGCGACTGCGAGGTCAAGCGGTGACAACGCGAGACGGCCAAAACGTCGGAACCCATAGGAATAGCTCAGTAAAGTTCTAGCAGGAGCCGCCCGAGGAAAGTCCTACAAGACGCCACCGGAGGAAAGTTCTACAAAGAACGCCTGAGTAAAATTCTAAAAGACGCCTTCCCCCCTGTCGCGCCTACTTCGCGCCCCCGCTGGTCGTCCTCGAAGTCTTTCGCTGCCTTGAATTGCGATTATACAAGAGAACACCAGTAGTCCCACAAGATCCGTGCCAAACACCATATTTTCCAACCGCTCCGATGCATCCCAAACCCATCGAATCCGCATAAGACCGTCAAACTAGCACCGGATCCGCGTGGGATCCGTCGCGGGTCCGTGCGTGTATCCGACGGCCCAGGCGAGGTAGACACTCCAAAATGGGGACCTTCGTCAACGTCTGCGGGGGCCCATGCACACGTTTTCGGGCGCCCGACGCAGCGCCTATTGCCCGCGACCTGCCGGCAAACCAAATGTTTCCCCCAGGCTGGCTCGGCCGACGATTGTCTGGCATGTTCGTGCGATTTGAGACCTCGGGCCGAATTCTCAGATCGCACCCGCTGACCTGACTGCCTGCAGTGATCTGTCGGCACGCCCCGCGACGCGGCGAACTCCATGCCGACGGGCGGCAACTGTCTGGCAGTCACCAAATTTCGCGGTGACTCGACGCGCCCAAGCCAGGCCTGAAAACGCCGACAACAGAGCAAGGGCACGCGGGGCACAGAGAGCGAGAGATGGAGAAGAAAACAGAACCACCCGATAAACGAAAGGTGGGCCCAGGACCCGAGACGGGCGAGGGCCGGGAGGGGGGGGCGCAAAAGCACAGCGGCGTCATCGCGGGATCTGTCGGGCGCGGGTTCCTACAACTTTCAAGGCGCCGGCAAAAACTGAAGCGCGGGCCCGGGGGCGTCGGAGCAGCGCGGGGGGGGGAGTTCCCCATTCGAAACGCTCGGGCAAAACGCTTTCCAGAATTGCTGCCTGCGCCCCCGCAAAACCCTGATAGCGATGCGATGGCGGCGAGAGAGGCTCTTTTACGGACAGCGGCCCCGGGAACCCTGCGCGCCGCGCAGGGCCTCAAACACCTCAATAAATTGACGCGCCGTGGCGGCGGGTGGGCTGCTCAAACTGGCCGAATGCCTGAATCAATATATAAACGCACGGCGGGCAGTAGAGGACACCCTGGCGGGGCGCATCTTCGCAGAGCCCGAATAACAATGCGATGGCGCTAGAAGGAGGGGCGAGGGATGCCAGCGATGCCTCTTTTGCGGGCGGCGGGCACGGGGGCCCCGCGCGCCGCGCAGGGCCCTGGCCGCCCCCGGGAACTCGACGCCCCCGCCTTGGCGACGGGAGCGAGGCGCCGAGAGAGCAGGCGAAGCCCGGGCACCCCCCCATGCGAGAGGCCCGCCCGACCTCGCCTCGCCCCACTCCCCGGCTTCTCCGGGGAGCGACAGAGGCGCGGGGACGGATCCCGCGCGCGCACGCGCCCAGACACTGCGCGCGTCGGAAGCCCCTCCGGCCTCGCCTCGCCCACCCCCCCGGCTCTCCGGGCACAGCCGCGAACCGCCCCGCGCGTGCAGGGGGCGGCGAGGGCGTTGTCTCTGAGCCCCGCGCGTCCTCCATATAGGCCCTTCGCTTCGGCCCTCGCCCCCCCGCGCCGCCCGCGGCGGAGAGGCGGGGGCCCGCGAGCAGGGATGGGGCCCTCGCCGTCGCGGCGCCCACCAGAGGGCAAGGCTTCAAGCCGATCCAGGAGGCGCGCCAAGGCGCCGCTGCCCGCGGAGCCGCAAGGGCGCGGTCTCGAAGTCCTGCCCACCCCCCACCTGGCCCTCCGCGGTCGGGGCGCCCCCCCGCCCGCCCCCCCCCCCCCGCCCGCGGCGGAAGTGCGGGGCGCGCGGGCAGGTGGGCCCGCGCCGTGGACGCGCCCGCCGAGGGGCGGAGGTTCAAGACAATCTCGGAGGCGCGCACGGACGCCGCTCGAAGCCCCTCTGCCCGGCGCCCGCCGCCGAGCCACGCCTGGGACGCGACCCGTCGACGGCGCCCGAGAGGGGGCGCGTGCCGAACGGCCCAATGCGTAGCCAGAGGGCCTAGGCCCTAGGCCCAACCAAAGAAAAGCGCCCTCGCAGGCCCGACCCCCGCCCCCGCCGAGGAGGCCCTCGCCCGCCGCGGCGGCCGCGGGGCTCCGATGGGGGGCAGCGCGGGATCGGGGGGGAGCACCCCGGAGGGCTCGAGCCGCCCGTGCCCTGGGCCAGGCGCGCGGCCAAGACGCGCGTGAGAAGACCACGGAGACTGTCTGGCTCACTGCGCGCGCTGGGATGTAGGTAAAACCGCACCG